CAAGTGCTCTTTACAGCTGACCCATGTCTGCAGTTCTGTATGAAACATTTATGTTGTTTAAACAATGTAGGCATGATTTAAAGTCAATGGGAGACTGTGCCTAGGCTATTGCATACAGCACATCTTATATATGGACTTGAGTGCCCATAGATTTCTGCCATATTTGCAACATGTTGGTACTAATGCCAAGAGATGTATTTTATGAGCAGTATAGTGCAGTAGCCAAAGCCATGTTTCTGTCTCAGATTTCTACGTATTGACCAGGTTTGTCTGCTAGAGATAGTATTTTCTGTTTCTTGGAATGAACATGGATAGTAAACAAACTAAGGTGGTAAGGATTTCATGAGCTTTCAGTAAACACATCAGTGAATATCGATTTTATTGTTTGTTTGGCAAGTGTTGTAATAACAGGGTTGGGTTATGGCCATGGTCAGTGTTTTCCTAATGTACAGCCTACTAAATCAGAAAAGACCATTACAGAAACATAAATTTTTAACTGAGTTGTTAAGGATGCTAAGGAGGATTTCATAATGGTAAAGGGATTAATAGAACCTCATGTTGAAAGGTAGATGTAAAAAGGTATGGAACCATGTAAGAGGAAATGCAGTTCATAAAATGAAAGATGCCAGATAGTTATCTATAAAGCATTGAAACATCATTCTTTTTCATTCAGTCCTTTTCCATGGGCAAGTAACATTTGGATAACAAATGAAACATAAGGAAATTGTTATTTTCATAAAATATGGAAAAACAATTAAAAATTAAATTAAAAATTTTAATTTAAAAATTAAAAAGGAAGCTTTCATTATATAAATGATTACTATCTAGGCCTCATATGTACTTTGTAATTTAAACTTGAGTAGGGAAAATTTTAGGGATAATGAATTAATTTACTTTCTAAATTAATGTGTTTTAAGAAATTAATTTGATTAAAATCATTAATGACTGCTTCTTAGTTAAATCGTATAAGGATCAGCTTCAGACTTCTTGGTAATAAATAGGAATAATATCTCAAAATTCATTGTAAGGATAGATATGGAGAATTGAAAGAAGTCACTGTTTTCTTTTTTTAAATTTATTTTTTTTATTAATTACACTTTATTCACTTTGTATCCCAACTGTAGCCCCCTCCCGTGTGCCCTCCCAATCTCACCCTTCCTCTCTCTTCTCCACACATGCCCCTCCCCCAGTCCACTGATAGGGGAGGTCCTCCTCCCCTTCCATCTGACCTTACCCTGTCAGGTCTCATCAGGAGTGGCTGCAATGGCCTCCTCTGTGGCCTGGTAAGGCTGCACCTCCCTCAGGGGGAGCTGATCAAAGAGCCAGCCACTGAGTTCATGTCAGAGACAGTCCCTGTTCCCATTACTAGTAAACCCACTTGGACACTGAGCTGTCATGGGCTACATGTGTGCAGGGGTTATATACTCATAAGTGGACATTAGACATATACTATAGGATAAACATACTAAAATCTGTACACCTAAGGAAGCTAATCAAGGAGGACCCTGGGTAAGATGATCAATCCTTATTCAGAAAGGCAAAGAGAATGGACATTGGAAGAGGGAGAAAACAAGAAACAGGACAGGAGCCTACCACAGAGGGCCTCTGAAAAACTCTACCCAGCAGGGTATCAAAGAAGATGCTGAGACTCATAGCCAGACTTTGGGCAGAGTGCAGGGATACTTATGAAAGAAAGGGGGATAGAAAGACCCGGAGGGGACAGGAGCTCCACAAGGAGAGAAAAAAAAAAAATCTGGGCACAGGGATCTTTTCTAACACTGATATTCCAACCAAGGACCATGCATAGAGATAAGCTAGAACCCCTGCACTGTTTTCTTTAATTGATTTTACTGTATTTTTAAACAGTCAATGTTAAAAGTTGAGTGCTGGGGTTATAGGCATGTGCTATCACCTCAGCTTGATAGAATTTGATTAATATTTTAGGACAAGTGAATTTTTATTAGTCATTGCTTATCAGGCACTTTTGCTTTCTAGAGAGTCAAAGTGTCTGGAAGATGTGTGGAAAGGGTAGATTTTTCAGTGACTATATATTATATATAAGTCTGTGGGAAAGAGATTAACTTACAAATAGCCCTAATCTTTTTTTTTTTTCTTGTTTTTTTCGAGTGAGTTTCTCTGTGTAGACTTGGCTGTCCTGGACTCGCTTTGTGGACTAGGCTGGCCTCAAACTCAAAGAAATGGGCCTGCTTTTGTGTCCCTGAGTGCTGGAATTATACGTGTGCACCACCATGCCGACAAATATCCTTAATCTTATAGCACATTTACAACTTACATGCTACCCAGTGCTCAGTGTCATCAAGCATGGTTATATTCTGAGTTCAGCAGCTTACAGTCTTTAGGAATGATTTTTATGGATCAATAAGCAGATTTACTTTAGCATATGAATCAAAAAAGTTATTTTTCTAAATGTGAGCTCTATATGTGTCTTTATATGGAGACTATTTGAAGTTACTAATTAGTAAGACACATGCAATAAAAAAAAAAAAAAGGCCTAATATGCTGTTGAATCAAGTATCTTTTCTCCTCTAGTCTTTTGTCTGCCGCTTTGGAATGTTTTTGTTGCTTTGTTAAAGCATGTACGTGCTGACTGACTGTTGAAAATTTACCTTCTTTTGGGTTTACCTTCTTCTGGGTTTATTGTTTATCCTTGTCTTAGTTAGAGTTTCCACTGCTGTGAAGTAAGTTGAGGAGGAAAGGGTTTATTTGGCTTATACTTCAGCATTGTACTTCATCATTGATGGAAGCCACAACAGGAACAGGGCAGGATCCTGGAGGCAGGATCTGATGCAAAGGCCATGGAAGGGGTCCTGCTTACTGGCTTGCTCAACATGGCTTGTTTAGTCTGCTTTCCTACAGAACCCAGGACCACCAGCTTAGGGAATAGCACCACCCACCAATCATTAATTAAGAAAATGCCTTACAGGTGTGTCTATAGCTCAACAGTATGGTGACATTTTCTTAATTGAGGTTCCCTCCTCTGAGATGACTTTAGCTTGTGTCAAGTTGACAAAGTTATCCAGCACAACTCTTTTTTTTCTCTTCTCTTACATACACTTTTCTGGATGCTGCTTTTTTATAATACATTTTTCTGATAATCATCTTAACTTCCCTTTTCTCAGGTAAATGTTCAAGAACCTTCACTGCGAGTTGGCATCTAGGCTTTTCCCTATTAAGATTTTAAGTTTTGCTGTTACCCTACTTGTACTTGTTTTCCCTTCCTTGTGTCTAATAACATACTTGCATATTTTCTTAATTCCTGTTACCACTTTTGAAAATAAATTCAAACTGTTATTTTCTTACTTTTAGATTTACCTGATTTAGCTCATTTTTTAAAATTATTACTTGGTAATCCCCAATTGATATATTTACAACAGGCCCTCTATACCTAAGGCTCAGAGAACATCATGAAAGAATGGCAGAGAGATTGTAAGATCCTGTGTACCAGGATATCTGCTGCAAGGTAGCATCATATATAACAATGATTGTGTCCATGAAATCTTAACAACTTGGTCACCTAAACAAGATCTGCATAATGACAACAATCATGGATGGGGAAATGTCACAAGGTCTCAACTGGCAGTAGAAGAGCTACAACCAATAATGAATGGCTGCTGAGAAAGGAAAAACCAATCTTCTCTAGGGTTCAGCCCCTGATCGGCCACCTAATCCCAAGTAGTCAGCCCTAAACACATGTGCTTCCAAACAACACTGACTGCTTTCAGTGGGGTTATGTGTGTGCCTGTGTGTGTGTGTGGGGTATATAACAGTAATGAATAAGAGGACATGAATTTGAAAAGGAGTCAGGGAGGACACAGGAGGAGTTGGAAGAAGAAGAATGTGGGATGGAAACAAATAATGTAAATACAGTACTCGTGTATTAAATTTTCAAAAGTTGTAAAAACAAAAAGTTGTTCTCTTCCCTTTTCCTTCCCCTGGCAACTGAACTCTGTTTTCTTCATGCTTAAAAGGTGTTTAACCACTATTGATGACCTCCCAGCCCTCTTAAATGTTTCTGTTTATAAATTATTTTAGCTCTTTTAGAAAGGCTATTTTAAACATACCTGTTTTACATATGCAATAGTCTTTTTCACATGGAGGGTCTGGTCTTCCTCTGCACCATCGCTTCTTGTGCAGTTCATAAGGAATGTCCACAGACAGACCAGGTCCCCTCTGCAGTACCTTCTTGACATGTGCAGCTTTCTTGGGAAGTTAAAGTTTTGCTTGTATTTTATGTGATTTTAAAAATGTTCATTGTCAGTTGTAACAACAGTACTGAGACCAGCCTTTGAACTTAAGTTGATTTATACAGATGTATGATTAATGGTGTTATTTGTGTGTGTGGTGTTTTTCTTTTCTTTTCTTTTTTTTTTTTTTTTTTTGCTAGTTTGAGTAAAATAAAATTATGAAGTAAATAAATAAATATTATCTTTACATCATTTCTTTATATACCCAGAAAGATTTTTGAATTCATTTTAGCTTGTAACTGTAAAAAAAATAGTCTTTATCCGGAAGGGAAGATAAAAATGCATATAGTAGGATCAGATACGAAAGAGGCAGGTGACACGCTGTGCTAAGCTGTTATACTTGGGAAGCTGGTAGACCCAAGTCAGAGGCTTACAGCATATAAGTAGTCAGAATAACTTTTATTGAATGAAAGGTCACTTTAACTTTTTAACTGAAGTAGAAACATAAATATGCGGCATACTACCAAATAATTCAATATATATGTATATACATATACATATATATACACACACACAGACATATATGTGTTTTCAGGTTGTGGCAATATTTTCTTGGTAGCTTTTATTTTGTATCAGTACAGTCATGATGACCAATAATAAAATTGTAAGTTGGTATGTCATAATTCTTTCCTAAAGTATTTTCTACACTTTTATACTATAATATTAAGTACTTAAAAGATAGTTTGAGAAACTGGAATAGTGAAAAAGTATTAAGCATTTAAATTGCTATTTCAGAACTTGACTGAAAAGTTGCTGAAAAAAGAACTGGACTACACCCACTTAGAGGACAAGCATAACGAAGAGTCAGTGAGTAGAAAGAATATACAGGCAGCCCTCCATCAAAGGGACCTGGATTGTCAGCAGCTCCAGGCAAGGTTAGCCGCGTCAGAAGGTTCACTGCAGAGGGTCCAAGCAGAACTCAGTGAGAAGGGAGAGGCTGCTCAGAAGCTCAAAGAAGAGCTGCGGGAAGTGGAGACCAAGCACCAGCACCTCAGAGTGGAGTTCAAGCAGCTGCAGCAGCAGCGTGAAGAGAAGGAGCAGCATGGGCTACAGCTGCAGGGGGAAGTAAGCCAGGTGAGCGCCCTTCAATGACACCATTGTGAAACATTCATGAATTAACAAAAGTCGCTTAGAGTGCTGCCCGCTACCGGGTATGTAGTAGGTTTTAGCTGTTGTGTTAATTCAGATGCTCACCATTCTTTAGTTAAATATTCTTGCAGCTCACAACTACTGTAACACCAGTTCCAGGAGATCTGATACCTTTTCTGGCCTCTTGGGCACCAGGCACACACAGGATACACAGATATACATGCAAGGAAATCACCCATACAAATGAAATAAAACTTTTAATAATAATAATTTTTAAAGTATAATTAAAAAATTTAAGTCAAGTGTAGTAGTTCTTAACTATGGAAAACTAACAAAAATCACTGTGGGAAGACAAAAGAATGTGTCTGAATGTGCCTTGAGTATCACAATTTTTAAGTTTCATTTTATTTTACATCCTTTACCTTATGTTCAGCTACAACCCTTGCTCACCCCTGCATAAGCTCAGAAATTCCATCTGCCCTTCGTCCCCCAACTCCGCCTACACCACAGAACAAAGGAAAGGAAAGCTGTGCATTCTTGGCAGCTGGTAGCACTTAGGCAGGGATTTGGATGGCTGGCAGCACCTTGGTCTCCTGTATTTTAAAAATTTTATTATTATTTTGTGTATGGGTGTTTTGCATGCCTGGTACCTTCAGAACCCAGAAGAGGGAGTCATATATAGGAGAACTGGAGTTACAGATGGTTGTGAGCTGCCATGTAGGTGCTGGGACTCAAACCCAGGTTCTTTGGAAGAACAGCCAGAGCTCTTAAACTGCTGAGCCACCTCTCCAAACCTCATCTGTATTTTTTAAAGAGAAAAAGAAAATAGGTACAAAATATGCAATGCTTCTTCATAATTTTATGTGACTTGTTATAATACATGTGATTAAAATTCAGTTGTAGTCTAAGTTATTCTCTAGTATCAGGTGTGAAGGGATATACAGTGAAAAGGTGGCACACAGTTAACTGGTGAAAGTGCAGTTTACTAAAGTAGTTGGTATGTTCCCATTTACATACACATGCACACTTTGATTTCTGTTTTAAAGTTACATAGCAAACTTCTGGAGACTGAGCGTCAGCTGGGGGAAGCGCACGGCAGGCTGAAGGAGCAGAGGCAGCTCTCCAGTGAGAAGCTGATGGAGAAGGAGCAGCAAGTGGCTGACTTACAGCTCAAGCTCTCTCGTTTGGAAGAGCAGGTAAGCTAGCATCTGAACCTGATTGATACTACCAGATGACTTTAGACTTGAAGTGTCTTAAACATGCCAAGGCTCACCTTTGTGTCAAGAACTTTAATTGTAATTATTTTTATTTCACATTGCAGCATTTCCTACTTGTTTGCTACATTTTAAAGTTACTACATTGTCTTGTTACTGTTATCCTCAAAGTTCTTAGCAGAAATATACTAACTACATTTTAGCTTTCTCCAGGAAGCTGGCCCTTGGGCTGCTGTGTTCTTCCTACCTAGGAAGAGCCATTTCCTAATAAGACCATCAGATACCTGGTGTGGATCATTAGCAGCATGTAAACACTGAGTTCACATTTACTTGATTTCATTTTTAATAATTAACCATCTCAGGTGTAATAGAGCTCACTGCTGTAGCTTCAGGTCCTATGTGCAAGTCCTAACACCCCAAGAACTGCCTCCAAATCACCTGTTTGAATGTTAACCCAGAAAAAGTTGTAGTTGCTCAAATGGCACCCTTATGTGGTTAAAGAAAATTTTATGATTGAATTATGACTTTTATTTGAATTGAACAGATACTCAGGTTAAAATCTGTTAATTCAGCAATAGATTTTCTTTAGAGGTAGTGTATTAGATGTGGTAGCAGCTCATATTCCTTCCTAGTATACCATAAGTGTAACTATTAAAAAGTAAAAGAAATGCAGATACTGTGGTTTAGGTTATTGGTGTGTGTGTGTGTGTGTATAAATTGTATATTAACTACTTTAGCATATATGTATACAAAGACAGTGATGAACTGATGACAATCTGGAGAAAGATTTGTTTTCTTTTTAGGATGAGATTTAATGGTTAGAGGATGGATTCTTAATCATGAAATTATAATTTTATAATTAATGAGGAACTGCTTTAAAGCTGATTTTTTTTATATGGCTTGAATTTCATTTTCTTTTCCAACTTGAGAATTGACATAATGCCAGATATTTATGCTTAATATGATCACATTATGTCCTAAGTTCTCAGCTAACAGTATACATTTTTTTTAAGTTGAAGGAAAAAGTAACAAATTCCACTGAATTGCAACATCAGTTAGAAAAATCAAAGCAACAGCATCAAGAACAGCAAGCTCTTCAGCAAAGCACTACAGCCAAGCTCCGAGAAGCTCAGGTAAGTGTATTCTCACTATTAACTTTCTGAGCAAAGTGGAACAGTCATTTTCCTTTTGTAGTGATAGAACTGCATAATGCAAACACTTGATGGGTACTTTGGATAGTTTTAAGTGATGGTCAGAAAATCATACTTCTTTTAATTTCTATGAGAAAAAAATAAAGTATTTTATTATAAACCCATTTGTTTAATACTTAATTCATAAAGTCTTCAAATATATTAAACTTATTAGATAATTTATTTATTAAATCACCTCATCAGATATAAAGATTCAGAGATAGAGCTCAGCTGGTCAAGTGCTAGCTGTGCAAGCATGAAGCAACTCATGAAACTTGAGTTCATATTCCTGCTACCCAAGTGAAAAACTGTGCATGGTAGCATGCAATCACCTGTAGTCGCAGTGCTGAAAAGGCGGAGGGCTTGCTGGCCTGCCGGTCTAGGCAATCATTAGTCAGGAGAGAGCATGTCAGAACAAGTGCAGCCAGTGGAGAAGCAATGGAGGAAGGCAGCCAGTGCTGATTTCTGGCCTCCGCACGCGTGTGTGAACACATGCACATATAGACCCTTCACACAAGTTTTTACTTCTACAGTGGAATGTAGTGTGTGTTATTAGAGCTTTTTCTTCTTAGCATACCTGGACACCAGAACTATATGTATAGAAAAATATAATCGATTGGGTTAAATTAATACACATTCTGTTATTACATGGCTTAGAAAGTAAAAGAAGTTTGGTTTTGTTATGTGCGAGCGGGATACATGTTTGGAGGGAATTTGTCGTTTGTATTCATTGGCTCCTTTGATTTACTGAGTATTTGAGCACTGGATGTCAGACACTGCTCAGTGCTGAACATAAGGAGGCACAGCACCTACCCTCTGGGAAAGCAGTCTAGGTGTGTACATAGGAATAATTGTGTGTCTCTGGGAACAGTAAGACATTTCTGCAGTAAGAAACCTTTTTTTTTTTTTTTCTGAAGTTGAAGAATGAATGACACAGGAGTCCAACAAAGAGGGATAAAAATACCGGAGTCATTTATCACATCTTTTGTTTAATCAGAGAACAGTATCTTTTGACTATTCTCAGCCAAGGAACTGATTTTGTATCTATTTATGGCACTGAGTAAAGTATAAAAAAAATGGCTGCTCTCATGGAGTGCTTAGTGATTGAGGCCAACAATAACCATGGTCAATAAGCAGGATATATCATGGTAAATAAGCAGGATATATAATGATAAGTGCTGTAGTCATGGACAAAAGAAGGGTGAGGCTAAAAAGCATGTACAGTGCTATAAGTGTTAGGGTTACAGTGCTAGGGAGGGTTGCCAGGTGTCTTAGGCTTTTTATTTCTCAAACAAAAACAAACAAACAAACAAACAAAAAACCTTACCATAACCAAAAAAACAAGTTTGGGAAGGAAAGGGTTTATTCAGTTTATACTTTAATATTGCTGTTCATCACCAATGGAAGTCAGGACAGGAAATCAAGCAGGGCAGAAACCTGGAGGCAGGAGCTGATGCAGAGACCAAGGAGGGGTGCTGCTTACTGGCTTGCTTCTTGTGGCTTGCTCAGCCTGCTTTCTTGTCGAACCCAGGACGACTAGCCTAGGAATGGCATCACTCACCATGGACTGGACCTTCCCTCATTGATCACTAATTGGGAAAATTCCTTACATCTGGGTCTCATGGAGGAATTTTCTCAACTGTGGCTTTTTCCTCTCTGATGACTCTAGCTTGTGTCAAGTTGACACAACACCAGGCAGTACACTTGAGGAAGCTTCTGTGATGTGAAAGACCTGAAGCAAGGGAGAGTATGTGTTATGGGGGCATCAGGGAGACTTGTACAACAACTTTGGAAATCAATCTGATGCTTTCTCAGAAAGTTAGGAATAGTGCCACCTCAAGATCCATCCATATCACTCCTAGGCATATATCTGAAATATGCTCAACTATACAACAAGGACATGTTTGTAGCAGCTTTATTAATAGCTAGAATCTGGAAACAACCCAGATGTCCCTCAATGGAAGAATGGATACAGATATTATAGTACATTTACACAGTGGAATACTACTCAGCTATTAAAAACAGGGAAGTTATGAAATTTGCAAGCAAATGCTGGGAACTAGAAAAGATCATCTTTAGTGAGGTAACCCAGAAACAGAAAGACACACATGTATATACTCACTCATAAGAAGTTATTAGACATATAATATAGGATAAACATACTAAAATCTATACTCCAAAGAAGCCAACAAACTAGGAAGACCTTAGAGAAGATGCTCAATCCTCATTCAGAAGGGTAAACGGTATAGACTTCAGTAGCATGAGAGGATGGAACAGGACAGGAGCCTAGCACAGAAGGCCTCTGAAAGACTCTACTGATTGAGGTATCGAAGCAGAGGCTGAGACTCACAGCCAAACTTTGGGCAGAATGCATGTAATTTTATGAAAGAAGAGGGAGATACAAAGACCTGGAGATGACACGAGCTCCAAAAGGAGACCAACAGATCCAAAAAAACTGAGCCCTGGGAACCCTAGAGAGTGACCCCAACCAAGGACAATGTATGGAGAGGACCTAAAACGGTGGCTCAGATGTAGTCCATAGTGGGATCTCTAAGTGGGATCCCTAGTAAGTGAAGCAGGGACTTTCTCTGGCATGAACTCAGTGGCAGGCTCTCTGATCACCTCCCCCTGGGTGGGGGGGGGGGGTTCAGCCTTGCCAGGCCACAAAGGAAGACAATGCAACCAATCCTGGTGAGACCTGATAGGCTAGGGTCAGATAGAAGAGGAGGAGGACCTCCCCTATCAGTGGACTAGGGGAGGGGAATAGGGGAAGAAGAGGGAAGGAGGGTGGGTTTGTGAGGAGAGGAGGGAGGGGGCCATGGCCAGGATACAAATTGAATAAATTGTAACAAATGATAAAACAAACAAACAAAAATAAAGAACAACAAAAACTCCTGTGATAGGAGTCTGTCTCAGGAAGAGGAGGAGCTGGTTGGAGAGGGGTGAGCAATAATTGTTGAAATGGACATGATCACAGAGATGCCATGACTCAGAACATGGAGAACTGGCATAGGTGATTTTAAGTTCTTAATTATTTTTGTGTCTTTGAGTAAAATTAGAAATTTTGGGGGTCTAAGCAAAGGAATGACTCACTGTAACTGACTTCTCAGGATTTCTGTAGCTGTTGTGTTTTGAGTAGACTGAGGAGGATAACAAGAGAAGCATAGAAATTAGCTGGGAGATTACAGTAATTCAGACAAGTAATGTTATTTAGATTTGAGTGGAAACAATGCAGGTAGTGAAAAGTAGTCAGATTGTAGATACATTTCAGAGGTGAAGCTGACTGCTTTGCTGATAGACTGATGTAGAATCTTGAGAGCGCAGTTAAGGATGGCTAAGGATTTTTGCCTGGGTACCAGACCAAATGAAACCTGAGAATCTTGTTGGATTTGTCATCATGGAGGTCTTTGAGCTCAGTAAGAGCAATTTGGACAGAGAAGATGAGAAGAACACCTGATGGGAGATTTCAAAAGAGAGAGAAGAAACCCGAATATGTGACTGCAGGCTACTCTGGGGCTTTAATGTTACGAGCAGGAAAGAAATGAAGCGTGAACATTTTGGTACAGGTCAGCAGCTAAGAGGGCTTCCTAGTATCCATCTAGGCATAGACAGAAGTAAAGGGCAACCTTTCACTCTTTAGACAGTCTGTTCTGAGGGAGAGCGAGGGGCTCAGCTGTACATGCTTGCTTCCTTACTCTCTCCTCACAGTACATGCACAGCATAGGTGAGAGTTGCAGTGCCCAGGCAGGTTTAGAAAAGAAAGGTTATGGGAGGCTTCCTAGGAATGGCAGCCTGAGTTACTGAGTATCTATTTGTGGGATAGGTACAGGGATGCTAATAGAGAGAAGTACATTACAGGTAAAAATTGGGTGGACAAGGGTACTGAAGCTAGTATGAGTTAAACTGATAGGGCTTGCTGAAGCTTAAAATCTAAAAATAATGTGGTTGAATAGAGATATAAGATAGATAAACATTTAAAATAAACTGATAACTTTGCTCAATATAACTTCAATAAAGTTACAGAAATAAAATATAAATAACTGATTGAGTAAATGAAAAATGTGGGAGCTTGGAAAATAAACATAAATTAGTTTTGAAACTTAAATGTGAATTATATGAAGAGTGGGTAGAAACCAGAGAGAAACTTGGTTTAGGGAGAATTTTTGAGAAACAAAGAGATCTGAATAGGTTTCTTGTCATGAAAGAGACTGATATATAGAGTTACTAAAAATACTGGCAGAAGAGCTGCTTCTTTGAGAAAATCAACAAGATAGACAAACCCTTAGCCAAACTAACTAAAAGGCAGAAAGACACTAGACAAAACAACAAAATCAGAAATGAAAAGGGAGATATAACAGACACTGAGGAAATCCAAACAATCATTAGGTCCTACTTCAAAAGCCTATATGACACAAAAATTCAAGATCTAAATGAAGTGAACAATTTTCTTGATCAATTCTACTTACCAAAGCTGAATCAAGACCAGGCAAATAAATGGTCATATATCCCCTAAGGAAATAGAAGCTGTCATCAAAAGTCTCCCATCCAAAAAAAAGTCCAGGGCCAGATGATCGCAGCACAGAATTCTACCAGACCTTCAAAGAAGAAATGATACCAATACACTTTAAACTATTCTGCAAAATAGAAACAGAAGGAACATTACCAAACTCATTCTATGAAGCCACAGTCATCTTGGTACCTAAACCTCACAAAGACCCAACAAAGAGAATTTCAGGCCAATCTCCCTTATGAACATTGATGCAAAAATACTCAACAAAATACTTGCAAACCAAATCCAAGAATACATCAAAGATATCATCCACTATGACCAAGTAGGATTCATCCCAGGTGTGCAGGGGTGGTTCAATATTTGGTAATCTATCAATGTGATCCACCATATTAACAAACTGAAAGAAAAAAAAAAAACCACATGATAATCTCCT